GAATTGGAGCTATAGAAATAAACTGAATAGAATTGAATTTTATGCAGGTGATATTTTATTGTTTCTGTATAAATATATATTTTTATCTAGATGTCCTTTTCCTTCTCCTCCATAAATATACTTGGTGCATTACCCTGAATCTTAATGGAAAACATTAAAACTTAGATATAAATGACAAAATATAGAAAGATCTAATGGCCGTAAATACTTTTAAAAAGTGAGTAAACCCAAATAAACTAGTGTTGTTCTAATAAAGAGAACTTTAAGTCAATCCCTTAATTCTAAAATCTTATAATTTAGCAAAAGCTTCCTTTTTGATGTTTGTAAAGAAACAGTAAATAAAGCTGCAGGCGGAGAGCCGTGTACCTCTGCCTAAGAGCCAGCGGTAATAGAACCAAGCACTCTGGTCATTCGGGTCGGTGAAGAAAGCGTTCTGAACCAGCTCATATTCTGGAACAAAACACACCACAATTAAAATAAGACATCAGTTTAACGCAGACATACTGATCTCCATTTATTCACTGGATTGCCCGAAAAAAGAGAAGCCACCAGCCGCCATATTGGTACTCCCGACTCCCAAAGCGTAGCGCGGTAAAAATCCCTCCCTGTTCAGCTTTTAGCTGCTAAACCAGCAGTTTTCTGTCTGCAGGAAGACGTTCCACTGGTCATTTCCCAGTCAGTGGATGAACTAAGCAATAAATCCATCTATAGCCGATGGATCCTATAGTTTAGTCTGCAGACTAACATTAGTCTGGCTCTCTCAGACTGACTGGAAGACATTGACTGAGTCAGACACTGACATTGGGTCTAATGTTAGAAAATAGAAAGTAGAGCAAATAGAAAGTCATTTTTTATTAAATGGATGATGCTGTTGTTTTTCTGAGAGTTTTTTGTATTTCTCATTTGAAAAAGTCATGAGCTGAAATAAATTGCATGTTATATTGACACAAAAAAAAGCAACATTTTTAAAGGCTAATGCACAGCATAAAGTATATGTCTTCATTCATGGACAATCTGCAGATAGGAAAAGGGTCACGGATTAGCAGATCACAGTCCAGATCTGGATCCACCTGCTGGCTAATCTGGATCCAACCTGATTTAAAACATTTAAATTTGTCTAACAGTGTCTAACTTCACTTGCGCCTCTTCTCCTGTTAATACGGTAAAGCCCTGGGGAGCGTCCGGCTCCAGGCTGCACGTGATCCAAATGAGCCAATGAGCTGTCAGTCTGGGTTGCTGCTGCTGCTACTTTTAGACACAGCAGGCAAACCTGTGGCAAGCCGGGCGATGGGAAAGAAGGAGAAGACCATGAGAAAAAGAGAGCAGAGAAAGTGTGGACTGCTGGAAGAACTGCGGTGAACTGGTGAAAGAAAAGTGAAATGGCGTGCTCAAAGATGACCCTGCACATTTAGAGGATGTTTGGCTCAACCTGCTGCTGTGAAGCAGGATTCTCCACCATGAACAGAATCAACAATAAATCTGGATCCAGGCTCAAAATGAGCTCCTTGATATGTGCTTGAGAATGGCTTAGTCTCCGGTTAAACCCAGGTTTAAAGCCTTGCAGGGCAGCCTAAAGCCCACTGCCAACATTAAGACAGAAAAAAGAAAGAAAATAACAAACCATCAGTTCAGGGGTTTGAGAAAATATGGGAATCAGGAAATTATCTATAAACCAAACTGAACTATTGTTGTTCTCTACTTAAAACACTTTAGATTTAAAATGGAAACATTTTCTATTTTTTTTTTAAGTCAATGTTTAACATTGATGCTTAAAAACCTGCTTTTTATTTCACTGCTAAATTATTTTTAAACTAACGGATTCTAATTAAAAATGTCTGCAGACCTTTACTGGTTGATGGTTTTCTTTATTGGGACCCTGCTGGTTTTTAAATGGTTCCCCTGATCTGCAGCATTAACAGACATGAACTGATAATTCAGTCCTGATGTGAAATCTTTAAATTATCTATAAGATATAATTACCATAACAATGTAATAAATCCATGTATATTACATGAACATCATCAATTTAGCACTTTTGGCTCATCAGTATTATTATTCTCCATAAACACATTAATCTTATTGAGATTTATTAGTATAATATGTTATATTACATGATTTATAGACTTTATTGACTATTTATTAATTATAAGTTAAAGTTAATCTGCTATAAAACGGCCAGTCTGTGTCAAAGTGATGAATTTATCTCTATTTTAAAATCCTTCAGTTCTCCAGAAAATGAGAACATCATGGTTGTTTGATGCTGTAGCACACAGATTGTTTACATTGTGAGCGGTCTAATTAGGGAGTACCAATATGGCGGCCAGTGGATTCACTTCAATCCAGTGAATAAACAGAAAGCAGTGAGATATGCAGGCTTAGACTGCCCCCTGTCTGCGGCGACGCTGCACTGCAGGCTGCCGTTCACCTTTAAGCAGCTGCTCTTCACACACCCGGTGGAAGTGAGTCTGGGGGGAGGCGGAGGGGGGAGGGTTACCACACTGGGAGGGTGTGTCTGGGGCCTGCGGGTGGAGCAGTGGGAGCAGGGTGCTGCGGTAGTGCCAGCTGGAGTAGTTGGAAAAGTTGGAGCCGATGAGGCGATCGGTGAAATCTAACTCCTGCTTCACGGGAACGCCGGACATCTTCACGACCATCCGCCGGTAATCCCAGCAGTGGACTGGGAGGGAAAGGATCATGGAGACAGACATGTCAACCACTCAGACAAAAAGAGACTTTGTGGGGTCGGATAACTTCCTGCTTCCACTGACTCACAGTTGCGGTCGTCAAGGCTTAAGCAGCGATCGCAGAGGCTCAGCTCTCTGGCCCAGTCCGGGCGAGGCAGGCGGGCTGAGACCCAGCCGCGGTGGTGCCAGCTGCCATAAGACTTTGGGTTCACTTTCAGGCAGGACTCCAGAAACGACAACTCAGCCTCGTAAATCTTCTGCACCTCGTCCTGGTTTCTGGGGAGGATACGGAGAAACGAGGCGTTTTTCCTCCAATTAGCTTAAAGATCAGCAGAGGAGGAAAATCCACCAACCTGACAGTTTCCAGGTGCAGCAGGATTTCACGGCGGTAGTTCCAGAGGGTTGCAAAGTCAGGGTTTGAAGAAAGGAGCTGCTGGGTCAGCTGCAGAGCCTCGTCATCAAAAACGCCATCCTTCCTCTAAAAAAAAAGTCTTAGTCACATTTTAGTCATAACCATATGTGATAGTTTTACTCAGTTTATAAAAAAGCACTTCATAAAAATTTAACCTTTACAATTTGGAATAAAAACCAGATTATTTCCCAGCCTGCAGCTCTATCCTAGATGCTACAGCAGCTGGGTATAGAATGCTGCTGTGTAGATCATCATTGCTGCTGGACAGAAAACTCTGATTTCTAGATTCAAATAAACTTTTTTTATCAATTAATTCCCTACTTTATATAAAAAAAAAAGTGTCTCAGAGAAGCTGTGAAAACAGCAGATCTAGTTTTAAACATCCTATTGGTTAATCTAGCAGACAGACGAGCTGACAGAATGTCCAATAAAGGAAGGATTTTATCATCCAAGGTTTCCATCCCAGAACAAAAACTTCCTGATCTACTATGAATTATGCATTAAACACAGATCAATAAAATCTGCATTGCTCTAAAAAAGCATCTGGATCTTAATCCAAAAATAATCTTGATATTTAGGCAAAGGGATTTATTATGCTTGGCAGAGGGTGATCAGCCACATCTAGTTTATTAAGAAGTGAGAGCAGGAAGAGCCGTACTGCTGAGAGCGAACCATCAGAGTGGAGCGTAAAGAGCAGACTCTGAGCTAAGCCGCGCAAAGACGCATTTCTGCTCAGCTGGAAGATCAGAGTTAGTCAGAGTTCAGGTTGCAGTAGCGGATCATTCCAGGTTACTTCATCCCTACCGCTGCCGCCATGATCCATCTGTGGCCATGCAGAATGAGCAGCGCTGCACGGCAGGTGGGCGGCGTGACCAAACAAGACGCAGCAGCCCGGCTGATTACAGCACAATGATGCATTTAAACGTCTGACTGATCAGCCACTCATTTTTATTTAGTCTCGTCGACCTAAACTCACCCTAACGGCTCTCATATTTTGGCCATCAAACATCCATGTTTAGGTTAACAGTTTCCGTTATCGTCATGAAATAAAAAGGAGCGTCAACGAAATGATTTCATCATCCCTGGTCCTCAGTGTCTCTGGATGCTCTCTGTTCATTTATGATCTCTAACGAACCTCTGAAGCCTCAGCAAATCTTTACTTAGATGAAGAGTAGTGTTGGACTGATGCCATTTTTGGCCCTGATACCCGATACCTGGCTGTGCCGCATCGGCCCATACCGATATCATCATCAAAGACTAAAACTAAGTGAATCCAGTAGAACTTTTTATTGCCTACCTGGAATGGGTGACAATAGTAGAAGAAACTTTTGGATCTCTAAATGGTATCAGTGCCCTATTGGTTGGTACTCGCCGATAGCGATACCACCATTTTAGAGCTGGATCGGAGCCCCGCCTCTTTCGGTGTTGGTTCAACACTAACTAATAACATCACAGCCTGAATAATAACTAGAAAACTTCAGAAGGGAAAATGGTTGATCAGGCTTTTATTTCAGGGTACCTCATTCGGGGGCTGAATATGATAAAAACCTCATCTTTTTAGATTGATGTTTATTTAAAAAAAGAGAGATAATAATGAATCCTTTTCTCTTTAACCCTTTATAGGGCACTCAGTGAATCCTTTGGAAATCCACATTTCCAGCCAATAGTGTTATTGGAATCCAGGACAAGACCTTAAAACCTTTGAAACATTTTGATGGCAAAAAATTAATGTCAATGTAATAAGAAGAACACCAACTAGCCCGAATATATTAAGAAAAATAACAAAAATAAGTGTTTCTATAAGAAACTCATGAAAAACACTGAGAATGAAAGAAACACATTTTATTTGGTCCAACATAACCTTAGAGGCATTACTGCTGATACTGGCACTGACATTTTTTAGTTTATAAACTTAAATATAATTGTTAACTTGGCTTATTCACTTTTTTAATTTACTTTTTAACATTTCAATTAGCTTTTTACATTCTTTCCTTGACTTTTGAACTTTTTACCTTTTTTTTCTTGACTTGTTAACGTTTTTCCAGCTTAATTTCCAGCAGCTAATCTATCATTCAAGGCCTCTTCTAATTGGTCAAAGGCCAAAATCAGATGTACGGCCATGTATTAGCATCTTTGTTGAATGGCTATAGATCTAGTGCTTCTAGACCTCACTGAGGGACGGGGGGGACTCCATTTGTAAGCGGTTTGCAGGAGATCAGAAATGGTAACTTGTCCTTTAAACGGTTAAAATAGTTGCAACTTTAGAAAATGCAGAAAAAAAATGTAAAGAAGAATAAATAAGTTTTAAAAAAAATGTAGGATCCTGGAACCATTAAGGATCATAATGTTTGCTTCAAAGGTGAGATTTGCTTTAATTCTAATAACTTATTAGTTTTATTTTATTCCACAATAATAAACTAAAACACTGAAAAGATAAAAGCTGGAAGAAAAAACACTTTAAAATCATTTAAAGTAAAGATGGTTTTAACATTTCTATGATCAGCAGCTGAGAGAACCTTGGTGAAGCAGGCGTCACGAGCAGCAACATAGATCTGCAGCTTCTTCTCACGCTCCTTCCTCTTCTCCTCCTCCTGCTGCGCCGTGGTTTTAACCTTCACACGCCCATGCTGTCAGGAGGAGACACAGGAGGAGTTACAGGAGGAGACACAGGAGGAGTTACAGGAGGAGACACAGGAGGAGTTACAGGAGGAGACACAGGAGGAGTTACAGGAGGAGACACAGGAGGAGACACAGGAGGAGACACAGGAGGAGTTACAGGAGGAGACACAG